GCTTGGGCTACAGTGTTTGTTGGAAGGAGAGGAAAAATGTTACAGTAGCCAAATAGACTTCAGTTTGGTCACCCCATTATCTTCCCCCGTTAATATGTAATTATGCACTTACACAGTTTTTGTAGTATTTTTTAGTGGTGTTTTAACTGAAGAAAATGCTTTAAAGGCCCACTGAAGTGGAATGCGCAGAGTTGTTTGATGTGTTGGCGTAATTTCCCCTGACACAGGAAGCTAAGGTGGGACATATTGAACGGCTCCTCCTCCTTTATAGCCAATAACGTTTAGTTTACCTCGCAGTCTGCAAGTAATATTTGACAGCACCATGGAAGCAAATCTGAGCGCTGATGATACGTTGGATTCTATAGTAAAGGTGTAAATAAATACTAGCCATTTCTTTCTTAACCAACGTTGGTTGTATTGGAAAATGTAAATAAAACTTGAGCGTTTGAGCAACCGAACACACATCTCCAACCTATATTGTTCATATACGTTTCAACGGTCACTTTGGCTTGGTGGCATTTACAGCAGAGGGACGGGACGGCCTTTTTAACGAACACTCATACAGTTTTTTTGACCAGCATTTGGGTATCCAATGGAAATAACTGATCATGGGCGGGCCAATAATTAAAAACCCTTGTATTTGGAGCGGGAAAAAAGCCCGGTTCCTGGAGAGCTATATTCGTCCTCACACGTCCTTCAGTTTGTATTTTAGTGTTATCAAAGAACTTTGCCGTAATGGACATGGACATTCGAGACACTGAATTCATTGAAAATTCCGAAGAAATACGAGATGACGAGTGCCCATGACCCCACATGGAGGAGTTGTTCTTATACAGAGGAAGGAAAGGAGACGTTTTATAGAAACTTTGTTTCTGCGGTGATATGTGATAGTTCAGTTGTTTTTGTTTTTAAAGATGGGTAGACCTCACGATAATTTGACTAAAAACATCACTTGAAACATGAGCTTCAGCGTTACTCAGGTGACAAGCACATATACCGTAATAAAGATTTAGCATTGTAAACTTAGATAAAAAAGTTATATTGTATGTCATTGTTTTATTAATATTGAATCCGTGTTTTAAGCTTAAAATGAAGAGTTTAATAATAACTCTTTCATAAAAACAGTATCTTGCCGGCCACGACCCACTGGCATAACAGTGTAACTGCACTGATTGACAGTCTGTCTAGATGGCACATTTGTGTCAGTGCTAAATGCTGATAACTTTTGAAACTTTTGAAATATTAGTAGGGTACTTTTGGAAATCTTTATTGTAAAAAAAAAAAGAAAGAAAAAAAAAGAAGTTTATAAATAAAATAACCCAATAAGCTTGTTTATTTTGCATTATAATTCATTAATAATAATAATCATATTAGACCATTTTTATAACTTGGTTTCCATAAAAGTAAATAAATATCACAGGCAAGTAATTAGTAATTAGTACTTGAGTAGTTTTTGAGAGGGGTACTTTGTACTTTTACTTAAGTACATTTTTAACACCAGTACTTTTGCTTGTAATCGAGTATTATTTTAGCAACTACTTGTACTTGTACTTGAGTACAAATTTTCAGTACTCTTTCCACCTCTGAGTGTTTCTTTTGTGCATAAGTGGGCCTGAGAGAATTGTGCTATAAAGCTTAAGGCCCCGATATCGAAAAACTAATTGGTGTGTAAATTTCAGAAGAAAATCAGGCAAAAGCAAAGTTCATTTGGAGTTTGTTTTGGCAGATTGAAACAGCTTGCAAAAGCAAACTTCCTGGTTGAACAGAAATCAAGTATTTGCACCACATGCAAAAGGCAGTTGGCTGGACTGATCTTCAGCAGCTTGGCTATTGACAGAAATATGAGGAAGAACCCGATATCATCTTATCCACTTTCCCCATACTGAGCACCAATTGATCCCTGTCAGAAAGACTACAGCATCTCCATAAAAGCTTTCCCGGAGCTGAGCCAAACGTGCATATGAATATCCTAAAGTGGTTACAATGTAGAAGGCTTTAAAAGGCTTCCTTTAAGTTTAAAGTAAACAAACCTTGCAGAGAACTAAGACTGCCAGGATACAAATTTACTTTGAGAATAGGCCATGACCACTTAACTGGAGCCTTTGTGGGGAGATCAGTCATTATTGATGAAAGCAAAAATGCTGACAAGGCAAAACCAACCAAGATATTTTTGCAAATGCAACAAATTTGAACCACTGTAGGCTATGATGCAATTATCATGGCTCTGTACGGAACTGTTTTAAAGGTTTCATCAATGGCCCTGTTTACACCTGGAATTAATATGAGTTTTGGTCAACCCCTTGGCCCATGTAACTCTGTTTTAAGGGCCAAGGCGTACACTCGAAAACAAGGGATAGGGCCAAGGGGTGAATTGGGATTGAGCCTTAGAGAATTTACAATTAGCAGAAACTGTCTGGTTACTGATATTAGTCATAAATGTCAGAAAATCGGCTGAATGGATTTGAAAACAGTAAAACTCAACTGTTTAACTCTGGGGGAGTGGTAAAATGAGCCTATTTCCAAAAAAAAAAAAAGTGGAATATCCCTTTAACATAATGACGACAGAAAGACGACGGATCACTGCTATTTGAAAACAAAAAATGGCTGCTGCTGGTGGTGAACTGTGCCGGGAGGTTGATGTGTTGGAAGCGGCAATGCTTTCCCTGAAGGATGTCAGAGCGAAGACACTTTTTCCTATTAAATGTAGCTACTAGCACTGCCAGTGCGAAAACATGGACTTTTCATTTCCCCTTCAAAAAATACATGCTAACTTACATGGTGTTGACGAGACGGGCAGATGATGGCAGACATCGTGAACATTGTTTCTACGTGCAGTTTGTTAACATATAAAATAAGACGTCGTCTTTTTATCTGGTGCTAATAAACTTCACTAAGTTAGCATTAGCTAGTTCATGCTTACAGCTGTTCACGGTCAAAACACTGTGGTGTAAACAGTTTGATGTCGGCATATTCACAGCCCAGAGCTTGTTAAACTAAAGCCAACCAACCCCATGACGTCACATGTTAGAATACTGCACAATGGCGGCGTAAGATATAACGTTTTTCTTTTTTTCTTTTATATGTTTACATCTGTCATGTTTCTTATATAATTGTTGATTATAGTGGAAATCCATCTTGTAAATCATGTAAACTTGATTGACTGCTTCATTTCCCCTTTAAAATTGCTAGATCACAGTGCTGCATTTGATACTAATGACCACAACATTCTTTTAAATAGTCTCAAAAATTGTGTTGCCATTAGTGGAATTGTATTAGCATGGTTTAAATCATACTTATCTGACCATTGTAGCAGTAAATGAGGAGATGTCTTATTGATCACAAGTTCACTACTATAGAAAATATAGAGTTATGAAATCTTGATTCAAAATTATAAGGTCAAAAAATAAATAAATAAAGAGAGAAAGATTGTTCACAATAATGGCAACTTTAAATGTGTGAGTGAATCCTCAAAATTATTTCTCAGAGTGTGAACAAAAATGTATTGAAATTCCGACATTTTAAAAAAAACATAACCAGTGAAAAATGTGTCAACATTCAGCCAACACAAAATTACTTTTTGTAGAAATATTTATTGCAGAGGAGGTATTTTTATGTACATGCTATCACAATATTACACAATATAAATCTACCAAATATCTCCATATGTGTATGCTATAAGCTTGTCATAGAGCATTTAATATAACAAGCACATAATACAGTGGGTAGGGTACAGTTTCACTCACTATACAACTTGTAACAGTCCAAAAAAGATCAAAGATTCTTTTTAAAGTTCTATCAAGGGCAGTGAAACATCAGTCTTACTAATTTCTCATTATCATGCAGAAGCAACGAGAGTTAGAGCTAAGACAATACCGCGTTGAGTAGTAGGAGTGTTCCCCCTACACATGACGCGCGGGGCCCAAGTAAACGAGCTAAATAACCAAAACCAATTCATAAATAGATAAATAATCACTTTTGTAAACTCCAAAAACTGAACTAAACATTGCACTAAGACAATGTAATAGGCAAGGTTACCATTAACATTAACAGGTCATGAGCTGAGTGCTTACATCATACTACATAGAAATAAACCTGCTGATGAGTAAAACTTGTAAACTAGAGGGATGCACTACGATACAACAACCATTCCCAGAAACATTCTCTATGTAACAAAGTTGGTCAATTTTACACATCCATCTAGGCATACATTAAGAACGGACTCTGGAGAGTGTATTATTCTTACCAGAGCATGAGATGACTCGACAGTTTAGGAGCAGTCTATAGGTTGCTGAAAGATCCCTTTAGTGTACCTAGAAATCCATGAGCACATATCCAGAAATTCTAAATTATAAGCAGATTATATAAATTTTGGAAGGTGGTGATACTCTCTTGATTGCTGCTTTGTAGTCGATAAAATACTACCTGGGTCATTCTTACTCCGCTGTACAGTTTGTATAAAATATTAAACTCACAATGTTTAAAGATGGAAATCATATTAGATGAATTTTACTTTGAATTAATTTAGTTTTAATTCATTTTTGGAAATAACACATTAACCATGAAAGTATTATGCAAGTATTAAACACATTTCTCCTTACAAAGAACCTTTTTTGACACAAAAGGCTCTTAAAGAATTGAGTCAAACCCTAGGGATGCACCGATATGAACATTTTGGCCGATACCCATAACCGATAATTCTTTATGTTTGAAAGCCGATAACCGATATATCGGCCGATAAATCTAAATGCAATTTTTATATAATTTTTGAAAGCCTGATTGCAAATCAGTAATCATTGTAATGTTCTCATTATAATTTCATGTAACTGATATGACAGCACATTTTGCACTTAACTATATTTTCCTTTTTGATTCCAATCATATTTCAAGCAATTAAGATCAATAATGTTGAACAGTGCACATCTTAAGTGTCTCAGGTGTCAAGTGTTGAAGGAAATAATTCATTATTTATCAGCTTTAATATATCAGCCAAATTTTATTATCGGGCCGATAACGATAACATAAAAATGAGCAGATATCGGCCGATACCGATATGGTGGCCGATATATCGTGCACCCCACAAGAAACCCATTTGACCTTAAATTCTTTAATGATAATTAATCATGTCAAGCTTGACAGGAGCATATTTCTGAAAGTCTGGTTAAAGACTAAAAGTAGTGCAGAACAGGAATGACCCACTGTGTTAATATAACTTGGGAAGATACCCAGAGATCATTGGTAAATTTACCCCACTTAGAGAGATGGGAGTGTGACATCATTTGATTCTTTCACAGAATGTTAAGAATGATATATTTAGGTACATTTTCTTTTTTTTCTTTTTACCTCTTTGGTTCATGTAACATATATACATGGTATGACCTTTTCTTCTGTATTCTTGCTAATTCATAGTGTGCACATACAAAACACAAGAACCTGTCAATACATTAAAAAACATTTAGTTACTGCAGGGTTGAGTCAAAACCATTTGCAATTGCAATATGTCAACATTTATATGAATATTTCATTACTGGGCATCTTACTGTACAGCAGTTCATGCCTCATGTGTTGTGACACCATTACCTTGACATCATTACTGATTACCAAATACCATGTGTGAAGGCATACAAGATATGGTAACAATCCAACAATAATATAGATAGATTGTTGAATTCACATCAGTTGTCTCTGGGGATGTTTCAAAACTTTCTTCTAAGAAATCTATACAATTTCAAATAAATAAATAAGTAACAATATAGTAAAAGCTAAATCTTTATTTGTAAACTGATGTAATCACCCCCCAAAAATGTTAAAGATACCAGACACATGATAAAGAAATTGATGCTTAATTGGGTCAGAATTTTATATGAGTTTGATAAGTGTTCTAATTGTAATTTTGACAAAAGGAAAGACATTATAGAGGCAGAAACCATACTGATTGTGCCCTACGCTGAGAGAAATTATATCTATGGTCCCATGAACTCAGTAGTGGACTTTTCCCCAAGCATACCCCATTCAAAAAAGCATTTACAATTTTGCAACATTGCTAATATAGAAAAAACTTAACTTCATTTCTTTTCAAAAATAAGATGCTGATTTTCATCAAGTGTTTCAATAAACATGTATGGGCTATGACAAAGGTTTCACATCTCCCAATACAAAGTAAGACTGGACTATTTAAATAGGCACATTCAGGATAATATATCAGCAAATTTGGAAGCATTGGAAATGTTTATGTTTTATTATTTTTTTTACTAGCTTTCTTTCTAGTCAAGAAATCTAAAAAAAAAAAAAATGTTGCAAATGTGCACATATGATCTCACTGCGGAACGGCATAAAACATCAAGGCCAAAAAGACAAAAAAAGGGAAAATGTGAATGGAGTTATATCCAGTTTACATCTGTCTTTCTTCTTTACTAAAGTGCTACAGGCTAATTTCTAGCAGCCATATTCGGCTCACTGTACAAATGTAGTGGTACTCTATTATGCTGTTGAGGTTTGAGTTCTTAGATTTATTGGATTTCACCGCTATCTTTGGCAAAAATGTTTTACTCAAACCAAACGAGAATGTATGAATCAAATCAAAACAAGGAAATGGATACTTCATGCATGGTCCACACCCACAGGAAGTTGTACAATCTTTTATGGAAGCCACAGTCAAGGAGGGGCTACAGATGCAGCTGTTATGAGGGTTCAAATGTATACATGTGGTGAGTATAGGCATCTTGTTTACATTGCACATAAAGAGTTGCATAATTGTAAACTACCGTTTCTATTTAAAGGTTCAACCAATACTTTAGAATCTGGAATGCCTGGTGAGTTGTTGCATTTTTGTATTTTTGTATTTTTATTCCAAAAAAAAAAAAAAAAAAAAAAAAACACAAAGGGAAAACAAAGGGTTGAAGAGAAAGGCAGCTTGTGCGACTTGTTGATTTTCTTCTCCAAATCACCAAAAATTCTATTAAAGTTTATATTCTATGGTGTATTTATGAAAGAAAAAGCACATATAATGAGAACTAACTAATGGTTCACTCAGGTAAAGTGTCATGCTTTTTTTGTTGATGATTGGTCGTCAAATTCCCAAGGACAGACATCTGCCATTTTAACACTACTAGTAACTCTGCCTTTGGAATTTGAACTTATCTGTTTGCTAGTAGATGAACTGGTGCTCCTGTTGACTTCTTTACCAGTTGCGGCATCTTCAAAATCCCAAGGGCATACGTCTGCTTGCTTGCCTTTTGCTAATGCAACATTTGGGCTTTTTTGTTTTTCCATTGAGACAATTTCCTGACTTCTCTCAACATCCCATGGACAAACCTCACCCTGTGTGGACTGGCTGACAGGTCTTTCTTTTGTCTTGCCAGAGGTGAACCTGTATTTTGTGTTTGATTTCTTTTTATCATCATCTGGATCCTTTGTGTTCTCTCTTTCCTTCTCTAATATTCTGACAGGGGAAGCTCCCTTCTTTATAGCAGGGGTCTCCTTTGTTTTAGAAACCTGAGGGGAATAAGGGGTCTTTTCAGAGATTGGACCCGAGACAGTCTCATAGTCCCATGGACACACTTCTGCACTAGGGGGCGGCTGCAGTGAGCGGCCTGTGGATTTAGTAGGCTCGGGGAGAACACTCTTTACTTTGCCCTCTGTAGGTGTATTGCCCTTGATTTCAGTAGGCGAGGAGCTTATTTTGCCTTTGATTTCAGCTGATGTGGTGCCCTTTTTTGGTCTGCTCTTATCAGCGGAGCAAGCTGAATCCTTTGGCTTGCTCGACACTTCCTCAAAGTCCCATGGACAGACGTCAGCTTTTAGAACTTTGGGGACCTCACCGGAAGACTGGGGTTGGGGTATGGCAGGCTTACTAGTGGAGTTAGGTTTCGACACCATTGCCGTACTGTGGTCCATATTTCCTTCCTCCCATGGACATATGTCTGTTCTATCTGCAAGTTTCTGGTTTGGATGCCTGGCCATAGAGGGTGACTGCTCTGTGCCTTTTTGCTTTTGCGACTTTGTCGCTTTGTTGCTACTTCCATGGACTGTGGTGGTCTGCTCAGGGGCAATGGACACGTGTTTATGGACCTTGTTTTCGGAGGGAGTCGGCAAGTCCTCCAGTTCCCAAGGGCACACCTCTGAAAGATCGTACAGATCTTTCCCCTTGCCTGCTTCTGAGCAAATAGAGGGCTGGCTTCCGCTCATTTGTGGCTTCATTATACCGGTTTTGGCAGCTGTCTGCTTGTACTCCACTGATTGGCTGACAATCATCTTTGGATAACCCTCCTTTTCTTCAGCTTCAGCTGAGGTCTTGACATCCTTGTTGTGTTGATTAGCTTTCTTTGTTGAGTCTTCCACTGCTTGCGCCTTTCCCGTGAGGCCAAGTGTTTTCTCTTTGGCACTGGCGATAACGCTTAGAGATTTCTGCAGCATGGATGTTCTAGGGTGAATAGGTTTCTTATCAGCTGTCAGGTTGTGAGCGCTAGCTGACTTGCACACCAAGGGAACTGACTCTGTTGACTCACTGGCTGTATCAATCTTCTCAGAGGACTTTTTGGCAAGCTTCTTTCCCATTAGGGTTTCAAGGAGGGAGCCTTCTGTGGTCGCGACTTCCATCTTGTCTGTCATTGAACTGCTGGAATCCTCACTGTGGTCTCGAACATGGTCATAACTGCTGTGGGACTTTTTAAGGGAGAACACTTTGCTCTTCAAGGATTCGTCTTTGGCAGGCTTAACAGACTGTGAGGGGTCAAAAGGGTTCTTTCTCAGGACACAGATGCTGTTGCGGGTACTCCCATGTTCACCCAGTTCCTTGTCCTCACGGCTACACTGACGACCCATTGACTCTGGAATCTCAGTTATGCGGCGCATGAGAGAGCGGCCTAGGCCCTTTTTGGAGCTGCGCTTCTTCTGCAGGTGAGGATTGTTGGCCAGCATCTTTTTCCTCTTATATATCTCCAGCTGGGAGTAGAGTTTCTTCAGCTCTTCCTGTAGATTTAAAGACAAAACGGCCATTCATTCACAAAAGAGGTCTACATGTGGAAATTTTAAAAATAAAATGATTCTAGTTACACTGAAGCAGACGCTCTATTGCACAGAAAACATGCAGAAGTCATTTTTTGCAACTACAGACAGTGCCTCGAAGACGTTAGACCAAACCAACATGCGGTTTTACACTAATTAAAGACAGGACAGTCTGGGACAGTGTCAAATATGAAAATTTTGTGTTTTATTGTTAGGTCTGAAACAGCCTCTGAAGAACTTCAAAGCATTTATAACAGCCGTGTCAAAGTCAATCAACAATATTATACCAAGTGCAGAGCTTTATCCTATTAGCAAAGTGTCCTTCCTATGAACTAAATTTGGGTCTTCTGTGAGAGACTTCTTCAGCTCTAACAAACAAACAAAAACCTCTGCTCACGTTGGTACGTTTTTCCCAAAGACTGTCGCAAGACCTTACGCCACAGCCATTAATAGAACTTAGCTGGCCCATTTCCTCTGGTGTCTGCAATAAAAAACTGCCATGGCTCAGTATCTTCATCGGATATAGGACAAGGGGTCAAAAGTTATTTGCAGATTATGAAATTTTAGTTAATTACTAAGGCAGGAGAGTGTCGAGAGGAAAAAGAAGCAGGAAAGAAAACAGGGCACCTACCCGAATATCCTCTGGATCCAGACTGTGCTCACTCCAGGCAGACGTGATGCTGCTATTCAGGTATGACCCAGACCGCCCCATGTCCAATTCATCTTCATAGGCCTCTGTAGCAATGTCATCCCTTAGATGTGTACCTGCAAACAAGAACTGTGGAAAAGGCATGGATATTTAAGAAATTCTGTAAAATTGGATTTTAGCCAACAAATAATCCAAAATTATGGCTCATTGGTGGGTTTACCTTTGGCACAAGCAGTAACCCCAAAGTGACAGTCACTGTCAAGTGTGTATGAGCAAAGAATAGCATTAGCATCCAATCTGGGTGCAGCTCAGGGGCTAGAGTGAACCTGTGGGAGGATTTACAGAAAAAAATTATAATCACCTTGGCAAAAGGCAGAACAAAATAAAACCATTACAATTTCTTAACAATACAAATTTGGGTACTTCCCAAAACAATTCAATTCGTTGTCATATTTGGATCGTGGCTGAAACTGTGAAAAGTCTGCGTAAGATGAGACATTCCTATGTTTCCAGGGCCCTGTGTTACCTAGATTTAAATGGCATATAATGAGCACAAGACAAAGAGTCCTATGTTACCAAGGTTAGGGTTAAGGTAACAAAAGGAGAGAGTGAATATGCAGAATCAGAATTTATCTTTCTCTTCGCTTTTGTCTGGTACATGTGCATCATAGAAGTGACTCTGGTCACATTCAGAAATGCTTATTCAGACAACCAACTTCTAATAAATAAACATAACCATACTAACAAAATAAATAAACATACTGATGCAATTGTGATTGAATCATGACATTTCAAAATATGGTATCGCTATAGCCATCGTGAGTGATAGGGAGAATGTTCAAAAACTTTGTCCAGCTTTGAAGCAGCATCTATTGTAACAAGTTTTCCTCACTCTTCTCCCTCACAGACATTGGAAGAATTTTTTTTTTTAATCAGAATGAAGACTGCACTCACAACAAGCAAATCGGTGAGGACACTCGTTTAAACATCATACACACCAGGACATTTTACTGAACATCACATTTTTGACATTAGCCTATTGATACTGCTTGCAGTCGTATCGCAAGGGACCGGTCTACAGGCCATAAATTAAGCCTTAAAATCAAAGGGTTTTTGAGCTGTTTATACTGTCACATGGAATAAAAGAGCCTACACAGGGACAGGACAGAAATGAAGAAAAAAATAACAACAAAACAGGAGTTGAGAGTGCAAATTCTTTTTGATGGACACTGCAACTGTCACAATATGATGTCACACACTGCGAGTATGTTTTAAAAACAACAATTCAACATATAAAAAGCACCTAATAGAGTTTATTAAAAATACATTACTAAATGCTAAAAAATATTAAATCTATATGAACAACAATTTGGGTTGCATTTACAATGCTGTGAAAAGTGTCAAAAGTTAACTCTGACTTCTGATTAGCATGTAGCTAAGCTAACATGGTGGTACTTTATATTCTAGGATTCTCTTAGTTGACAACTTGAAATATTTCACCGAGATGCATCTGTTTCGTACCAACACTGTTTCTACTTTTTTTTACTAAATAAAACGTATCGGTTACCTATAACCTTGGTTCTCTCTAGAAGAGAGAACGAGTATTACGTAAGTTTAGCTTTCGCCATGGGAAAGATTCATCTTTTCAAGAAATTGAAGCCAAAAAAATGTCCTTAATGGGAACTGCAGCAGCCTACCACTGAGCCCGATGTGACATCACGTCCAATGAAGGGGGCTTACGCCTTCACAGCGTCATAGCCTGCCAGTATGGGCGTGGCTTAGCATATATAAGCAGGGCTCGAAGGCTGTTTCTATGGTTTTCATCGACTGAAGCGAAAATCGCTCATGACAAGTTACACAATACTCGTTCCCTCTTCTAGAGAGATCCAAGGTTCCATTAGGTAACTGATACATTCTAATAGGAGAGGTTCTCTCGTATTGCGTAAGTTTAGCTTATGCTACGGGAATTCAGCACTTGTACATACTGTAAGCACTCATAGGGAATACAGAGCGGCGGCGCTGGTATAAAGCACATACCTATTAGTGCAGCGCAACCAGAAGAGCTAGGACACGTGAGAGTAGCCTGTGCACGATCATATTTGGACAGAACGTACATCTCACTTAAACTGACAGAAGTTTTGCCTGCAGAGCGGGAACTTCTAGGTTATAAAACCTGACAAAGGTGGACGGGGAGGCCCAGCCCGCCGCCACACATGTGTCGTGAATAGAAATTCCGCTGGACCAGAATAGAAATTCCACTGGACCATGCCCACGATGAGGCCATGCCAGTGAACTGAGCCCTGGTGCCCAAGGGGCATTGCAGACCTTTTGACGCGTAAGCAGCAGCTATAGTGTCCACAATCCATTTGGACAGGTTTTGTTTTGAGGCGGCAAGACCCTTGGTGCGCCCACCAAATGAAACGAAATGCTGGTTCGGACACCTGAAAGGGGCGGAGCATGCAGTGTAAACCCTCAGCGCCCTGACTGGGCAGAGGAGATTAACATTGCTCTCGCTATCGGATGATGTCAGTACCGACAGAGAAACGATAAAGGAGTGCCAATCACTTTAGGGACATAGCCATGTCTAGGTTTGAGGATGATTTTTGAGTCATTTGGCCCGAACTCAAGACAAGCAGCGCTGACGAACAACGCGTGTAAGTCTCCCACATGTTTAACTGATAACAGCTGTCAGAAAAACGGTTTTGAGTGACATGTAATTTAACTCCATGGAATCAAAGGGAAAAGCTTTCAGGGCCTCGAGGACCAATGAAAGATCCCACATAGGAACCGACGGGGGCGCGGAAGGTTCATCCTTCTGGCTCCTCTAAGGAAGCGGATTACAAGCTCGTTTCTCTAGCGCGAAAGCCCTGGTAGTTAGTGCGAGCATAAAAGAGAGCGTCATCACAATTTTTGTGTGTCGGCGTTTGTTTGCAGGTGTGCGTGTTATTTAACAGGCTACTTGCTGCAATATTGACATTTAGAGCCGCTCGAACTAGGAGGAGCTGAGAAATGTTTGAGAAAATGGGGGTTAATCCGGCCTCGACGGACTAACGTAAATAAAGCTAATGTAATGTAAATAAAGCTAGCCGCGGTTAGAACAGCTGTCAGCGGCGTGACCCCATTCAGAAATGACGGCAGTGTGGCTCGTGAGCGGTCAGCTGTGCGTCTGCGAGGGGAGGCGGAAAAGACTAGAGCGAAGCTTGAGGGAGGGAGTCCGTCGAGAGCGTTGCGGTGGCCACAGGCTCCGGAGGCCTTTGAGAACGGCGCTTTGTTTACGTGGAACGGCGCTTTGGATACGTGGCCCGATAGCGTAGCTCACATGGATGGCTGAAGGTAGCGAAGACGGCTGGTTTCTTCAGGTGCTGTCCTAAGCTGGCTTGTCGCTTTCTTGGCGGCGGCGGCTTATTTCTAGATCCAGCGATGCGTAGAGCTTCGCTGAAGAGATGAAACTCAGAGAAACATCCTCCGAGCCCTGCTTATATATGCTAAGCCACGCCCATACTGACGGGCTATGATGCTGTGAAGGCGCAAGCACCCCCTTCATTGGATGTGATGTCACATCGGGTTCAGTGGTAGGCTGCTGGGAGACTATGAGCATGCTAGACAGCCTGCTCTAGGTCTGCTAGCTGCTGCACTGCAATGACAATTAATACAAAATTATGGATAATTTTTTGGCTTCAATATCTCGAAAAGATGAATCTTTCCGGTAGCGTAAGCTAAACTTCCGCAATACGAGAGAACCTCTCGTAAGAGAAAGAGAATATTTCCTTCAGCTTTGTCTGCCATCTTTAGTGAAAACAATTGAAATTTGAAACTGCAATGACCACTATGGCTCAACAACGTCAGAGCTTGTCCACATATAGCAGATTTATATTTAGATTTATGCTGTGTTTTTCTCCGCATAGCTATTTTTTCCCCCAGGTTTATCTGTGCTGGGAGACTGTCTTCACCTGGGACTATGTTTGCAGCTCTGTTGACTTCAGGTCTTTTAATCTGGTTGGAAATTGATGGTCCCTCTGAGATGACTGATACTGAATATGGACATGTCTGTACATATGAAGAAAATAAAAGTTTTCCTCTTACATCACCTTCTGAGATTGCTGAGGTGAAGTGTGTGTATGCTAAAAACTGCGTGTGTATGCTGAAAGCACTGGCTGCCACAATACACTAATTAACGTTTATGATGAAAGGACATGGGTGCTGTTACACAAGAATGCAGATACTTAACTAACACTATCCCATGGCTCTGTACTACGATTAATTACTGTAGAAAAAGTGGAGAAAGCATCAAGCAACGCAACACTTCTACAAATCACATGACCTGCCTTTGAAGTCAACCGCCTTTATCTTGTGTAAAAGTTCAAGCTAAGTCCCTGCCTGAATGAGTGCCTCATTACCACTGAAGTTATTCATTCACTCCACAGCCCTAAACTGATTTTTTAGAAGGCAGTGGCGGTCCGTCGGACAAGAGAGATTTTCCTTAAGATGAATTCAAAATGATTGATTCTAGAGAAGAATAACAGCATTTAAACTATAATATCATAGTATTATAGTAAACTGAACAATCAGAGTGGATATTCATTTGCACTTTATTTCAATGGTCCATTTTAGACATTCTAGTAACTGTAAGTATTTTTGCAAGTATTTTTGTCATCTAACTCTTATTAGAGAGTACCGTTTCAAGTACCGTTCAGGATCGATCAATCCTGCTTAGCTTCAGTGGGAAATCAGGCAAGAGCTGCTCACAGAGATTAACTTAAACAGTGGGTCTCATTCATGAAACATTCGTAAATATACGAGTAAATATGAGCGTGATTTGCGCGTAAAGAGACCTTCCCAAAAACTCTTCTGATGATTCACAAATATTTCGTAAACGTCAGATGTGATAGTGAAATGTGTGTGTGTTAATGAATTCCAACCAGTCGTAAACGGGATGCGCGTGCACGTTCATTCTCAATTACCATAAATCCCGCCCATTATATCTGACTGACATCTCTATATATTCATATAATAACGTGAATGCGAATGAAAAAGAAAGATTTCTCGGATGCAGAAATTGAAGTTTTATTATCAGAAGTTCATTCAAAACGCCACATTTTATTTTCATAGTGGCCTATCAGGTCCTAAAAAAAAGGAAGCTTGGCAGCATAGATGTATTTAATGGAGTTTCATCTGTTAATCGAACAGTCTCAGAAGTTAGAAGAAAATGGTTTGACATTAAGCTTGACAGCAAAAAACGAATTAATTCACTTCGGAAAAATCGTATTCAAACTGGAGAAGGACCACCATCGATCATTAGATCTGCTATTACTGGCTCTCATAATAAAAGTAAAAAGAAAAACCGTATGTAATTGTATAAAATATTTTTAATATGTACCCGATTAAGGTGAATTAAAATGCAGCCTTATTAATAAGCAAAACGTTCGGATGTTAAGCGCACCATTTACGCGTGGCTGGGAGCAGGTGTAGATTTCTTGCGTACCAACTAACATTTGGAAAATACGAACATTTGAATGAATCCAAAAATTTACGCCAGAACCACTTTACACACGATTTACACAAAAATTCGTTCTGCTCGTGTTTCATGAATGAGACCCAATGTGTTGAGATCACAAGCATCCCATGCAAGGGACGATCTTCCAAAACACAACACATGATATGCAGCAGAGTTTTTTTTCAGCTGGGAGTCCATATACCAACACCATATGGCTTTTAGTCTAGTGTATTCAAGTGAAGGCAAGTGCGAGAGATATTGACTTAAAGGGGACCTATTGTGCAAAATTTACTTTTATATTGTTTTTGATCATAATTACGTGCCGGCACTGTGTACACAATCACCCCAATATGGTAAAAATCCATCCAGTCCATTTGTTATTTTCCCAGTAAATCTGAAAGTGTCTCAAAATAAGCCGTTAAGGAATGTGCTCCCAATGTGATGTCACCACTGGCGACAAAACCTTCCCTATTAGCTTAGGTGCTCCACTTAAGTGAGCTGTACACTGTCCGTCATGTTTATCCTACGCTATCTCACGACCAATTGCGAGTGATTAAAAAGTGGCTAATTCGTACTAATTCATACGACCTCACTCGTACGAGTTCGTACGATTTGTCCAAACCCACGTGATGGGTAGATTTAGGGGTGGTGTCAGGGGTAGGTCATTCGTACGAATTAATACGAATTGGCCAATTCGTAAAATATGTACGATTTAGCAAAAACATACTAATTCGTACGAGTGAGAACCACCTCGTAAAATTCGTACGAATTCTCATGAGATCGGGTTGGTTTATCTCCTCCCCAGGGCAATTAACAGCAGCATTCAAGTAAGAAATGTATTCTTAGTAAAGCTACTAAAAATTGTATAATAGTTACTTTATATTACGCTGTTGTGAATTTAATACACAGATCTAATATATATATATTAGGGCTGTGCAAAAATTAATTGCGATTAATCGCATCCAAAATAAAAGTCTGTGTTTACATAATATATTTGTGTGTGCTGTATATAATTATGTTCTATATATAAATACACACACATGCATGTATATATTTAAGAAAATGTGTTATTCATATATAAAATATTTATATTTATATAATATAGATTATGTATTTATATATATATACAGAATTTAAGCGCAAATAATTCTTAAATACATACATGCATGCATAGGTATTTATATATACAAAATAATTATATACAGCACACTATATATTATGTAAACACAGACTTTTATTTTGGATGCGATTAATCGCAATTAACTTTTGCACAGCCCTAATATATTTATATATATGCACAATAACCAACCAATGTTTATGTGTGAACTCAGTGTGTTTTTGACATAACTTTCTGTGTATATAACAGTTTAAGCTCAATAAGATGGGAAAGAGAACTTAGTTTAAAAGTGTACTCACAGTAGGCGATCTGAACCGTATTATTTTAACGATCTATGGTGCACTTAGGGCGCGTCTGAATCCACTTTTGCTTGTTCAACGACAGGAAAAATGGTTGGCATACTTAGCGCATGGTCTAAAAGGATGGTCCCTATTCTCTTAATAAGTAATCGGTGTGTTTTGGGCGTAACGTATCAGCTCAGGGTCGAGGTTAAAACGCATAAGCAGACCATCTACGGGACAAGCCGGATTCCACCATATCTTTATGTACACAATATTAATATTTTACATTGTTATCCAGTTATTTTTATTATTTGGCTAGTTTGTGTGCTGCTGGGCATGTGTGTAATAAGCAGAGTGTACGCACATTGTGGACCCGCTTATAGGCACACATTACTATCGCACTCTTTAAAAATAAAAATAAATAGTGCCATTGACTTTAGACCAAGTTTTTGTTGGTCAATGGCACAGTATATTTCAGTTGCCTCAAAATAGCAATTTTCCAACATTGTTGGCTTGTTTTTTTTTTCTACCAGCATTTTTTTTTTTTTGCACAAATGGGTGCAAATGTATTTGCTATTTAAATAACGTGGCGCAGGACATGCATAGAGCTAAATGATAAATGCATATAGCTAAAACTGGCAAAAAAAAAAACACTTGCGTCGGGCTTGATAGTGCTCGTAGTGTGAGCACACCCGGTAACACTTTAGAATACGGTTCCTTCGTTAATGAATAACTACACAAGAACTAATGAGTAACACAATATTAACAATCTAGTAACTATTATTAAATAACAAGAAACTCTGATTAACGAACTAGTAAGTAATAGCGCACAGACGAAAGTGGTAGTTCACTATTAAGTAATCAATAACTACTATTTTTTAATACTTCCCAGAGAACTACTGAAAAAGTTTATTAATAATCTATTAACTACTATTAACTAAAAGAAACTCTTATTAACGAATTAATAAGTAATAGCTCACAGATGAAAGTGTAACTAGATACTTCTGTGGGAATTACTAATTATTTGGATCCGTATTATAAAGTGAAGATCATTGGAACTAACTAGTAATTACTCAAGTGTTACTACATGATCTAGTCATGATTTGTGCAAATGTTTGAGATTTTTGGTGAACTTTAGTAACTTTTAGAAAATGTCTTTAGTAACACTTGAGTAATTACTAGTTAGTTCCAATGATCTTCACTTTATAATACGGATCCAAATAATTAGTAAGTAATAGCTCATAGATGAAAGTGTTACTAGATACTTCTGTGGGAATTACTAATTATTTGGATCCGTATTATAAAGTGAAGATCATTGGAACTAACTAGTAATTACTCAAGTGTTACTACATGATCTAGTCATGATTTGTGCAAATGTTTGAGATTTTTGGTGAACTTTAGTAACTTTTAGAAAATGTCTTTAGTAACACTTGAGTAATTACTAGTTAGTTCCAATGATCTTCACTTTATAATACGGATCCAAATAATTAGTAAGTAATAGCTCATAGATGAAAGTGTTACTAGATACTTCTGTGGGAATTACTAATTATTTGGATCCGTATTATAAAGTGAAGATCATTGGAACTAACTAGTAATTACTCAAGTGTTACTACATGATCTAGTCATGATTTGTGCAAATGTTTGAGATTTTTTGGTGAACTTTAATAACTTTTAGAAAATGTCTTTAGTAACACTTGAGTAATAACTAGTTAGTTCCAATGATCTTCATTTTATAATACGAATCCAAATAATTAGTAATTCCTAGTAACACTTTCATCTGTGAGCTATTACTTACTAATTCGTTAATAAGAGTTTCTTTTAGTTAATAGTAGTTACTAGATTGTTAATACTAGATTGTTAATATTGTGTTACTCATTAGTTCTTGTGTAGTTATTCATTAACGAAGGAACCGTATTCTAAAGTGTTACCGCACACCCTAATACTCACAGGACGAGCGAGCCGTCTGACAGACAGCTTTCTGTGTGCGTGCTTCGGATGTGTGTGCTCAGAAAACCACATATCAGAAGTTAAAATGGTTTGACTTCAAATGATGATGAAGAACTGCAATGTCACATGAGTGTGATCGCATTAGTTTGAGGATAGACCACAAGCTATAAAGGCACATCACTACCCTGGATAGGGGGCAGGGAGCAGCAGTTCATTTGCATTTAAAGATACACGCACAAAACATGCTTTCACTCAAAAATGGGCATTTACAACGTGGTACGATAAATTATCTGTGGGGTATTTTGAGCTGAAACTTCGCTGACACATTCTGGGGACACCTGAGAGATTTATATTACATCTTGTAAAAAGGAGCACACTAGGTCCCTTTTAATCATGATAAGACATTTATGAGGAGGGAAAGGAGGAAGTCACTCACCTTAAAATGTGGAATATGAAAGAGAGGATGAGCTCATTGTGCACTGCGATGGCCATGTAGCGAGGCTCATGAAACGCTGAGGGGACGGTCCTCACAGCAAAACAAAGATACACACCCCACAGAAGGAACAGGAATTCAGCTGTTTGTGAGAGATAGTAAGGAGTTAAAACCCAAATGACTAGTACCTAGGACATACCAGTTACCAGATCAACCAGAGAATGATGTGGATGTCAATACCTTTCTGTTACAAACCAATATAGCGCTAAATTGAAAATAGCAGAAAGATAGAGAAAAAGACATTCAATGAATGCAATAAAAGATTTCTAGATTGCTTGTATTCCCTGGAGACTGCTTGACAGACAATTACAAATGAAGCTGTGGAAGGTAGTCCAAAGATTTTAAAGTTCCCCATCCCCTATTGGCATACCCTAAACAATGTCATCCAGTCAGCTGGCCTGACATCAATAAACATGTGTTCCCCCAGTGAAAATCTGTCATCATCAATGTGATGTTTACTGATCCAGGTGTTAGATCGGGCACATTCTAATTTGCCATGCTTGAGAAAAATACATCAGGATAAACATTTGTGTTGAATTCGATTTGTCACAGCCTGGCTGATGCTTCCTGTGAGCTCCGCTATATGTCTGCAATTAGTGCCAAGCCAGACTTGATTAATCACTTCCTTGGCTTGTATTTCAAACATAATGGCCTGCAATGGTCTACCACGATTGCAATGTCCGGATTAGCATGCTACCAGATTACTCTTACAATTTAGGCAATGCCACTTAGATGCACTTCATTTGTCAGGACCCAGTATCTAAGAGGAACAGATTCTAGTTTTGTCTTCACTTACTGAAAACTCAAGCACAAAATACTTATAATCAAGTCATACGATTATAATAAGTCATTTTTGTTACATCAAAGATGATCACAGATGTTACAGATTACAAACTCAGCTATTTAAAGGTTGAAAGGTTCTTTAAAAAAGAACTACAATTGAGCACACTTTTATAAAGAGTCTGGAATGGAAGTTTTGAGTGCTTTTTGACCCACTTTAGTAGCACTTTAGAACATATTATATGTAATATTGAATAACAAAATATAGTTAAAATAATTCACATGTTTTTTTTTTTAATTAGTCAAATAAGTATCCTTCTATAAAGCATGAAAAAAGTACACTTAAAACTACACTGTGTGATTTTTACCCCCATCTATCGGTGAAAAGGTGATCATCCAGTGAATATTAGTTTCTGTTCCTCTCAATTCCGATTTCGTTTTAACTCCTACGGTGGCCAATGTAGTCCAAGATTAACATGGCTTCCAGTTCGATCTCATCCATGAGCGTTAACTCAAACGTAAACGCGAAATTGACGGGTATGTCCCTCTTTGGCTAATGTACTTTCAAGATGGAGGGACAAATGGCGACCGACATTAGAACCCCTAACCCGTATGTATTTTCAATGGCATATTATACACTCACGAGTATTTATTACTTGAACGAAGTAAATGTACATTAATGAGCACATATGTTTTTGAAAGAACTAAGTGTTTTTAGCTAAAAATAAACTAAAAGAGTTACACAGTGTAGCTTTAAGTGCCCTTTTATTTGATATTTTATTATATATTTTGAATGTTTGAAGTAAACTATAAGTGCACATTTCTACGGAGCCCCTAAAGGGACCTTTGCAAAAATAAAAATATGCAGACTTTCACGTGTGCACGAGAAACTTTTGCGTGCGTACAGCATTTATAGTGTTTCTTGTTATTTTTTTTACATTCAAATAAATTCTACTGAACATTCTAGTAAACATTTGCTTTTTGTGTTCCATGCAAAACATTAGAGCAGCTCGAGTTTGAATGATGCCATAAGTTGAATTTTTTTCTTTTAAATAGTGCCTTGAAGATATTCTCTCTACTTTCTTTCTTTAAACAAGTATCCATTTTTGGGAACATTTCATCCAGACTCTTTGATTCTGTTTGATAATATATTCAAGCTGGTGCTCATTAAAATGCCAAATAGTCATAAAGGAAGCTCTTAGGTAACAGATTCACTCACCCACAGCAATCATGTAGTCCCAGCGGTCCAGCAGACACATGCTGAACTGCAGCCTATCAGTGGTGAAGCCCACAGTGATGAGAGCGAGATGTCGGTTTGGATTCTGACAAACAGCGGCGGTCCAGGCTATTGCGAACCATAACACAATCAGCAGGATTATACACAGTAGACGTAACACCCTCCAGCTGGTCATGTAGGGGATCCGTTGGGCTGTACGTGACAGGAACACCTTGAGAACCCTGGAAAACAATGAAAACAACCATTGTATCCATGGCCTAAAATTAACACTATAAATAACAGTATATGAAACGGGGTCAATCGCCAGTCGGCTGGTAATATTTTGTAAAATTCCAACAATGCAGTGTTGTGAAAACATGTACGCAAACGTGAGTGCCGCTGCATCTCAGACAGTGCGCAAATACTGAATTGAGCTCTTTTTCACGTCTTCTTGCACTTAAACGGTCAAACTCACAAAGTTTCAAAAATGCCCATCTTAATGAGTATATGAGTAAACATAGTCGGTTATGTCTTGAGTGAACATTAACACATTAACAGTAGAGAAAGATGTGTACTGGTGTGTGTATTGGATCCATGAAGTAGGTCTTAAAGTGACAGCAGCCTAATATGTCTGCTATATTAATCAACAACAAAGAACCAAGAAAAAAATCATTCACTGCTTTTGACTGAATAACTTTTGTACCTTTAATAAGGATTAATCTACCTGAAAATTACTGTTCCTTGTTCCTATATATATATATATATATATATATATATATATTTAAATGTATAGTTAGGTTAGTAGTTTGAGTTGTGGTATCAACATTTAGAATAGAGAATTGTGAATTTTCACTGGTATCTAAATTTTTGGTGTCATAACTGCCGGTTTCATGGCCGGTTAAAAAATATATTTATGGCTGGTAAATTTTCTTTACCATTGGCAGGTGAGGCAAAAAGTGAATATTACGCCCTGATTGTGTCATTATCACCTCAATACTGGAACTGATGTGGACTTAAAATAGCACCTTGTAGAAGTGTACAATTGTTGACATTTATTAAAGTCTGCATTTGTAAAGCATTTTACTTCCATAATGTGGTGTAATTTCGAATGAACATGATATTCAAAATGATTGATTGAATAGGAAAGTTATTATTATTTTATTATTATTATTATTATTATTAAAAAAAAAAACGTTTGTTAAAGTTTTAAAATAACTGATAAAATCATGAATGTGTATTACGAAAGCTAAGGTAAATTTGAATTTTACTAGGCATATTAATAATTATTTTTCTGGAAACATTTTACAAGAAGCTTAATAAGTTGACATTACTTAATGTATTAACTAACAATGAACAATACATTTGTTAGAATATTTATTATCTTTGTTAATGTTAGTTAATAAAAATCAGCTGTTCATTGTACTGTATGTTCATGTTAATTCACTGTGCATTAACTAATGTTAACAAATACAACATACACTGACCTAAAGGATTATTAGGAACACCATAATACTGTGTTTGACCCCCTTTCCCCTTCAGGACTGCCTAATTCTACGTGGCATTGATTCAACAAGGTGCTGAAAGCATTCTTTAGAAATTTTGACCCATATTGATAGGATAGCATCTTGCAGTTGATGGAGATTTGTGGGATGCACATCCAGGGCACGAAGCTCCCGTTCCACCACATCCCAAAGATGCTCTATTGGGTTGAGATCTGGTGACTGTGGGGGCCATTTTAGTACAGTGAACTCATTGTCATGTTCAAGAAACCAATTTGAAATGATTCGAGCTTTGGGACATGGTGCATTATCCTGCAGGAAGTAGCCATCAGAGGATGAGTACATGGTGGCCATAAAGGGATGGACATGGTAAGAAACAATGCCCAGGTAGGCTGTGGCATTTAAACGATGCCCAATTGGCACTAAGGGGCTTAAAGTGTGCCAAGAAAACATCCCCCACACCATTACACCACCACCACCAGCCTGCACAGTGGTAACAAGGCATGATGGATCCATGTTCTCATTCTGTTTACACCAAATTCTGACTCCACCATCTGAATGTCTCAACAGAAATCGAGACTCATCAGACTGATGTCTGAAGTCTTAAATACGAATGCCATTATGTCATTTCCAGCGCTGTCAAGCCCACATTATCTTCTGTAAATGTTCCTAAAGATCCTCCACTTATCCTCCTTCCTCCATTGTTCATTTTCAGCTTTTGTTGTCCAAACCAATTAAATGCAACACACAGTGGTTATATTGTCCTATGCACCTCCTGTTAAAAAAAAAACATTTAGCTGTGTAGTTTCACGATGTAGTGAATCTTTTTTTTTTTTTTTTTTTTTAAAGTACTTTACCCCTGACTTTACTAGCCGTGGAACAAGCAGCTCTGGCACTTTACAGGACGTTTACTTTAATGGAAAATTAGGGATAATACAAACATTAACTGTGCTTAAAAGGGTATCACAATTAAATCAGGAGAGGCTAATGCTGCAAGGTCATACAGGAAACGAAGTCCATGTAAGAGTAAGAAAAAGTGCATTATAGAGCCACTCTAGATATACTGACCTTCTTTATAGCATCTTAAGTCTTTATGGAATAATAGTCTGTATTGAATCTGAACTTGTTATGAAATAATAGTGATGACAAAGCTAAAGTATAATGTTTATTTAAGGAGTATTTTCAAAAGAACAAGCAATACATGCTTCTAGATATATCATGTACCCCTGTGAAAAAGTACACTTTAGCACACTTTTAAAACAGACATAATTTTATCACAGAAATAAAACTTTAAAGTGCCTCATAATGCTTTTTCGAATATTACCTTTCATGCAGAAAATACACGAATAAAGTTGTTGTTCCAACAATCAATTCCAGTCTCACTTCCTGTTACAAACCTACACAATAGGTGCGTTCCATTCGACCGTAAGTGGACTGCGAAGTGGACTTCACAGGGTATTTCGCCATCTTAAGCGAGATTCCAATTCGAAGGGAACAAACATGTTCAGTTCGAAGGGCACTGCAAACGGCATAGGGAACAGGGCCTGAAGTTAATTTTTTCGGCCACCGGCCACTGTGGCAGGTGGATTTAAAAATTCACCCGCCACAGAGACTTTTTACCAGCCATTTTTTTTTTTGCCTCATAAACGTAAAAAAAAACAAAAAAAAAAAACAGGGAATTTCACAATATTGTTCTTTAACTTGTAAGAACACACATTTTAGTGCTGTCAAGTAATAATAACTCTAATAACATACATAAAAAAAAAATATTTTTATTCATTGATTTTGACAGACACACACACACACACACACACACACACACACAACATAGGCTAGTATATACTCAACAGATAGACCTACCGCAGCTCGTAAACAAATCACACGCGGCTGTGTTGATGGCGGATTTAGTCACGTACAGGTCTTACTCTTAACAGCTTTTAGTTACAGCGTTCAGGAACGGTTAAATATGAACTAAATTAATAATGTTATTACTGATAAAATTACCGGGTACCGGACATTTTCTCACCGGTTCCCAACTCCCAACATGCACAGTTGCACACGCACACACACACACACACATCTGTGCAACTGTCATTGTACTGTAACCTACAACAGCGACGCGTTACATTATCTCATCCCATCTCATCAACAGTTTAATACTCGCACACGTAGTCAGAAAAAGAGCCTCATCTTCTTTCTGATCGCATGAACGTTACGAAACAACAGTCGCTGTCATAAATCAGCCGCTCACGAACCTTGCCATTGCCGCCGATTGTTCACTTTGTATTAAAATGTCTTCTTTACTTTTATTTTTCTCATCCTCATCTTTTTGTTGGCTGTTTGTTTTGTTTCAGCTGGCCTCTTTACCCCAGTAATGTGCCGCCACATTTTAGCTAAAGTCCACCGCAATAGCGGACTTCGTTGAAATGTAAAAATCCTGAATCACTCAATTCTCATTGGCTACCCGCCAATGTGGCAGGTAGATTGACAGTGTTACCCGCCAATAGCAAAATTCACCCGCATTTGGCAGGTGGTCGGGTGTTAATTTCAGGCCCTGATAGGGAATAAGGGAACTTCGATACATCACTTCACAGGAAGTCAGTGAAGTCCACTTCAACTGATATGCCGTGTTCAGGGAGTAGGGAGCAGTTAACACTGTGTAGGGACCCTGACGAATAGAACGCACCTAATAATGTAAAACATTTGCATAATGTCAGCCTATGGTTTTCATTGGCTGCTCGTGAACAACATCTACCGTGTCCCGCTCTCAAACCCTTAAGTAACTGAAGTCTGGAAGAATTTGGTGTTGTCGTCATGGTGAGAAGATGCTGTTTTCTGAGTTGCGAATCCACTTTTGGATGAGGACACAAACTGATATAAAACCGACACCATAGTTACAATCAGTATCACTGCGTGTCCATGTGGTGAGGAGCTGAGAATTCAGATATGGTAATAGGCGTTTGGTTTCCAATTCGCACTGTATTCGGTAGACCAATCACAACAGACTGGGCCGTCTAACCAATCAAAGGAGGAGGAGATTAGAAAGACTAAGGGCCCTATTTTAACGATCTGAAACGCAAGTGTCAAAGCGCATGGCGCAAGTAACTTTGTGGGCGGATCCCGGCGCTTTTGCTATTTTCCCGGCGGGATAAATGCCTCCTGCGTCTGGCGCAAATCTAAAAGAGGTTGGTCTGAAGTAGCTTCATTATTCATAGGTGTGGTTTGGGCGTAACGTGAAATAAACCAATCCGAGCGCCATCCAACATACCCTTTAAGAACAGGAGCGCATGTAGCATGATGGATTGTTATTATAACGGCGGGTTTACCAGGAGCGTTCACAGTCGATGAGACCGACGGAGAGGTGACGTTGTATGGGAATGGGAGAAACTCTTGCATCGTCGGTTAAACATTATAGCCTGTAGTATGTTTCTTGCCACTATTGGGCAAACAGGTCTGATCCTTCAGTACTACAATTAGCCTTAAAAAAGTTTTTTTTCATCTTCAAGTAAACCACAATGATTTCCCTCATGTGATAATATTTTTCCTTGTTATAAAGTATGATTTGCAAAAATAAAAACTACTGCATCTGTGTTGATGAGAGAATCAGGGTATGCGCGTTGTGCACCCGCTACATTATGGCCAACCATGCGCGCTTAAAATAGCATAATGAACAACGCGCAACACGCCACTGACTTTAGCGACTTTTTCACTGACAGTGGCGCAATTGTTTTCTGGAAGTGTAAAATAGCACCAGGGAATGTTTGCGCCGAAACACGCCTCCTTTTTGCGCCGGTCCGCCCAGGGAGCGCAAGTTCATTCCCTAGTTTACCGACGTGCATCTGTGGAGGGAAATTTGCGCCGGGTGCAAGATAGAGCCCTAAATCTTCAAACTAACCATTTTCAGACTCTATGAAAAATGAGCTGATGTGAAATGTTTATAAGAAAATTAAAGTGTTTTTTGACCATTGATATATGTAAACTTATTGTAGGAGACCTTTAAAACAAAATTAGAAATCTTTAAAATAGCATGACAGGGGCACGTTAAAAGAATATACTTGAAATCTGAAAGTAATGTTTTCAGACACTTAAATGCATGTTAATAATTACAATTAAATGAAAATATACAATAGTTAAAATTATATTAAGTGCAGTTAGCTGATTTTTAGCTGTTTGACCCCTGAAATAGGACTTTATGCTGTACTGACAAGCGTTTATGATCGGCTAAAATATGTATTATTGTGAAGTAATTCAGGACACTATATGTAAAAAGAATAACAAACTACATTTACAATTATAATCAAGAAATTTGTGATTTATCTGCAAGTATAGTTTTTCTAAATTATACTTTTAAGAATTGAAGTACATTAGAAATACACATCCAGTACAACTGAGGGCACTTCTTTTCCACAAGTTCTGGAGGGTCAGAATATTTAAATTGAATAACAGTGTGTATCAAAAAATAAACTGCTCTGTTTAGAAAATTGTCAGGAGTCTAGTTTAAATATATATTTTATGAAAAAATTAGGGCTGTGAAACGATTAATCGCGATTAATCACATCCAAAATTAAAGTTTGTTTACATAATATATGTGTGTGTGGTGTGTACAATTATTTTGTATATATAAATACACACATATGCATGTATATATTTAAGAAAAATGTGTTATTAATATATCAAATATTTATATTTTTGTATAATATTATTATTTTTTTTTTTACAAATGTATAAAGTATATACATGCAAATATTTCTTCAATATATACATGCATGTGTGTGTATTTATATATACAAAATAATTATACACACTACACACACATACTGTATATTATGTAAACACAAACCTTTATTTTGGATGCGATTAATCACGATTAATCATTTCACAGCCCTAGAAAAAATATATTGTTTTAATAATATTGACAAATTATAATTATTCCAAACAGAAATTCATGTTGAATATGTCAAAAATGTTAAGTTGCTTTAATCAATATTATTATTTTTGGATTAGCACTAATTGCAGCCCATGAGGAACAGATGAATTCTTGTTAACTGTTCAGACTCTCTACAGCCTAGCCTTTGACTCTTTCGCCCGCTATCCAATCTGCTACCAAAAACCTGTCCAGCCTTGGTGTTTTTTTCAGTGTTGATTCTGAAATGGCAAAGATCTCAGCAGGATCCACCTCATCTGCCATATTAGGAAAGTACAAGTTGTGACATTTAATAACATTGTGGGGTGGTGAGTCATCCAGAATGTGTGTTTGTCTGAGCAGCATATCTATTTCTCAGAGGCACCAATCTCAAAACTCTCAGAGATTACAATGTGTCATTCTCCGCTCACAGAATGTAAGTCGTTCTCAATATCTCATTCTAGCCATTCCTAGGATTAAGATTTGTATCAATCAAGATAATTATTACTAAGACTGTGACCAAAATAATAACAACACCAGTACCTGAAAAGTTTGAGGGTGACCGTTCCATAGACCGTGGCAAACCCGAGCAGACGAACCCATCGCAGCAGGATACAGCGGAAAACACTCGGCTGGAAGTACAGAATCACCACCTGGAAAACAATATGCAAGCACTCAAATGGAATATGCATTCATTTTAATAACTAGGTGTCTATTTATTCAGACGAGAAGGAAATGTTTGCTACAAGATCCCCGCGGTTTTGTCCTTGACTGATGGTTACAGGATAAAAAAGTTAAATAAATTAGATAGAAAAATAGCTAAAAGCACAAAATGGAAATGAAAAAAAAAAAAAAACGAAAACATAAATGTCGGTCACATTTTAGGGTTCAATTCTCACTATTAACTAACTATTAACTAAAACTTTTCCCTCAATAAACTCCTAATTACGGCTTATCAATGGTTTATTAGTTGTTAAGTTTAGGTATTGGGCAGGAACTAGGCATGTGTATGTGGGACATGTTACCAACACTAAAACATACCATGAAACTGTTATATAATGTCTATCTAACTTGATAAAAACATTTATATTCTGCCTTTCAGTTGATAAAACTCATCACTGAGCCCAAAGGCAGCACGAATCATGTATACAAACATTTTAGAAACAGTTCTGACGAAGTCCAACAAAAAACAATGAACAAATAAAATATAAAACAACATGAAATTACATAGACAGTCTTATATATTAAGAATATATTAAAAACCAAAACCAAAAACGTTCAAATTTTTAGAAAGGATGTGAATTAAAACAACCTCTGCAGGTTAAACAACAGATAAATTCTTTGTTTTCCGACAGGGAACATATATGAAACGAATCACTGGTCCACATTTTGATTGACAGTCGTCACAACCAACGAGTGACCGTGTTTACTTATGACGAAGTGCTGCAAACTACGCAGCAAAACTAATAAGGCAAAAGAACGCATGCATGTTTTCTTAATGATATTAAAAACTAATAGACTGATGAAAATGTGGGACATTTCCTCAATATGCGACGTGCGGGACAAGAGGTGAAAGTGCTGTGCAGTACAACGCAAAGCGGGATGGGTGGTCACCCTAGTACCATGAGTGTTCGCTCTTGTGTTTGAGCACGCGCAAGACCATGAGCGCTCTTGTAAAAATTGGTTGCATTCTGAAACATCACCGATAGAGGCCGCTAAAAAATACATATAGCACCTTTAAGATTCGAATTATACACAAGTGCACACTCAACACAATTAAGTGCACTTTTTCACAAGGGGGAGATTTTCAGATTTTTTTTGTGCCTTGAAAAATTACTTTCTTAAAATTATATAAGAATAATCGCAATCACGCATTACAGAGACCGGTTTAATATGTTGGGATAGAATAAAGTATTTTAAATATTTAAATTAATTACATGTATGTGTGCTGATTAAATAATTGCTGTTGTTAACAAATATCACTATTTGCTGAAAACAAATCCCCAAATTAAAAAAAATAAAAATAAATTGTGGCATGATGAAACACTGTTGTGACTGTTGTGTCACATCACGCTATGTTTTTAGCATCTCGTGTCATGAGTGCCACATTGTTAAGACGCTGATGTCTTGAGACCACTGCATTGTGTTAAATTCTGTTTTATAGTGGTATTTTTTCAATTAAATTATTTTATTAATTTCTTTTTACACTGATTACACTAAAATTACATGTGGAATATACACACCCTGATTTTAACACTGAAAAATACACACAACATATTTACTGTCTAATTTGTGCAAGGAACCATTCTGTCAACAGGGTTTTTTAATGGGGACACATGAAAGTGCATAAATCAGAAACTCGCTATTCATTTCTCTGCTCATCACCTACATCAAGCCTCCAACCTACAAAAAAAAAATACAAATAATCTCTTTGATGTGACTGTGATGTGCACTTTCATTGAACTATCCATCATCCTTATCTGCCACCGTTCTCTAAACAAACCCGTCAAGGAATCTAACAGAGAATTCCAACACATCACAGCGCTTCCGATGCATCCACAGAGAGAAAGAGAGAGAGACACTAAAGGTGAACTGTAATTGAAGCAGAATTTCACAGCTGTGCCGCCAGAAACCCCCCCCTGTCCCCCGCGCGCTGGCCTCTGCTCAATCTCTCTATGTGCAAACAGCCATGCGACGACGCTCTGTTAACAACAGTCTGCTCACTTCTCAGGAAGCTCTATTATTAAATTGATTATGGAAAAATGATTCAGAGCAGATGAATTGCTCCAGCACAGACTCTTCTGTCATAATTAAGTTTAGAAAAACGAATGACAGAGTCTAAGATACATCCGTAGGGGGCTCACGCAGACCCTCACAGTTCCCTCACACACACACGCTCTTCTTAAAGGATGGCATGAGCAAATAGTGAAGTTACACATAATCATAAATGTATTTCTGCTATTTAAATTCAACATGAGATGCAGTTCGGCATTTGCAACTCATTGTAAGAAAAATGGCGGGACTTAATTTTATCCTGTGAAAAGTTGTTTTATTTTGATGAAAGATCATCTAAAAGCCCTAAACATACAATAAACGCAACATTAAAAATAGAAATAATGATATTTTTGTGATTTGTAAAGACACATGGATGCAGGTTTACAGAGATAAATTTGTAATGTCAGGTGTATATAAGCTTATTTTGTAACAGAAAACACATGATAAAAACTCATCTTGTGTTTTTAGTCTGGCTTTGAGTGGTTTGTCATTTTGAATCCTTCAGTTACATTCATTCATTTGCACTTTCGTTGACAAGTGTTTTTTTTTTTTTTAAATAGACAATATATTGTAATATATAAAACCACAAGAATACTTTATCAGACTTAAAAGAAAATATATGGCAGTATGTTTCAAAACATTGTGTCATTGTGTCTGCATGTCTTTTACTTGCATTTACACACGTCACCAGCAGATGTCACCTGTGTTTTGAGCGCTTTGACACAGTGAATCATGTTGTAAAGTAAATGGTTGAAGTGATTCATAGTTGGTTTCCTGTGTCAAAAAGCTTTGTTTCTTCCATCACAATAGCTCCTACTCAATTGAGTACTATGGCTTCTTTTTCTTTAATTTAACGGGATGGTTTACCCAAATATGAAAATATTCTGTGTATACGACTTTCTTCTTTCAGCCAAACACTCTCAGTCAATCGGAGTTATACTGCAAAATATCCTGGCTCTTGCAAGCTTGATAATGGAAGTGAATAGCAACTGAGATTTTGAGGCCTAAAAAGCACATTCATCCATCATAAAGATTGTACAATGCAGAATCCAACAAAGTCTGTTACTATAATACCGGTAATGATGTCCTGGTGCTCGTTGTATGTGTGTATGCAATGTATTTTTTTCCCCTCTGCGCTTGCCGTGGATAGGAATGGTTCAATTGCTGCTCAAAACATACCATAAATAATCATGCAAACATACTTTTATCTTGCTCTGTCATTTTCTCGGCACCAAGGGATACGTTCTTTTTTGTGACATGGCTTAAAGGGATACTCCACTTTTTTTTGGAAATATGCTCATTTTACAACTCCTCCAGAGTTAAACTGTTGAGTTTTACCTTTTTTGAATCCATTCAGGTGATCTCCGGTTCTGCCGGTACCACTTTTAGCATAGCTTAGCATACATCAGGGAAGTTGACATGACCATTAGCATTTCTCCCAAAAAAATGACCAAAGTGTTTTGATATTTTTCCTATTTAAAACTTGACTCTTCTATAGTTACATCGTGCACTAAGACAGACGGAAAATGTAAAGTTGTGATTTTCTAGGCTGATATAGGAACTATACTCTCATTCACAGAGGTGAGACCAAGTCATTGTTTTGCAAGTCACAAGTAAGTCTCGAAGCTTTGTATTCAAGTCCCAAGTCAAGTCCCGAGTCAAGACAGACAAGTCCAAGTCAAGTTGCAAGTCCTCAAGTTTAAGCTTCAAGTCTTAAACAAGTCATTAGTGCTTTTTGCACAAATTACTGTCTCAGTGTTAATTACTATATGAAATGTATACTAATTTATATCAGGAAGGCTTTTAAAACATGATATAATATAATAATATATAATATTATCATATTTATTCAAACTTAGTGGATGTTGATTGGTTGGTTGTCTGGTTGAATGTGAAGAGTGGCAATGCAGATTTAAAAAAAAAAAAGTAACTGTTCATTGGGAAAATTAATCGTGATTTGCTACACATTAAGTTTTAAATATTGAGTCACTGGTTAAATTATTTTGTTAACACAATAGTAATTGTACTAGAACTTTCCTATTTCCATGGCAACATATCAAGCGTCACTTTTTGGGGCTACGTGCCTGTCATTTACAAAACGTAACGTAAATCCATCCATTTCTCCCGAAAGACATGAAAGTGAGTGGCTGGTGTACAGGGAGAAGACTTTATAGTTACCTATAGGCTAAAATGTGCGTTTGTTGTGGGGAAAAATTACATCAGTGTTTTTTTTTTCTCAAATTATAAATGGTTCGCTAGTACTTGTGTATTTAAATGCCTGAAAAAGAAAAGAAAACATTATTTTTTTGAAAACTGTCTGAACGTGTGATAATAAATGACAACTGACACGCGCTGCTGAACGCACTCTATCACATGCTTTCTGGCTCAGTGCCAAACGTGCGTTAGCAGCGCTAATCGGCGCTGTGATCATGTGTCAATGACACAGTGCTATACTACAGTCAGTGATTATTACAACTCTGATCTGTGGTTTTAGAAGGTAGGTCAAGTCTTTCCAAGTCACAGGGCACAAGTCGCGAGTCATTGTTGTCAAAGTCTAAGTCGAGTCGCAAGTCATCTTTGAATATGTCAAGTCGAGTCGCAAGTCATCAAATTTGGGACTCGAATCCAAGTCAAGTCCGAGTCATGCGACTCGAGTCCACAACCCTGCTCATTCCCGCGTAATCAAGAAACTTCACTGCCATACCATGAGTGCAGCAGGCGTAATATTATGACGCAGCGCCTGAAAATAGTGCCCAGCTTCCAACGTGACCAGGACTAAGTTTGTATAGTCATCGCGCCTGCTGCACTCATGGTACGGCAGTGAAGTGTAATGATTATTACGCAGGAATGAGAGTATAGTTCCCTGCATATCAGCCTA